CTCCCAGGACTGAGAGTTGCTACTCTAGCCATTGGGATTTCACTGCCCCTGTCCTGAACACTACAATCCCTATAAAATAGTTCCAAAGGGTTGTGGAGATGGTTCAGTCCATAAAGGACTTGCCTTGAGAAGATGAAAACCTGAGTTCAGGCCCCAGGGAACCCACATAAAACTGCAGAAGGGCTAGGAGTGGTGGTTCACACTTAGACTCGCAGCACTGGGGATGTCCAGACAAGAGGGTCCCTAAAGCTTGCCCACCAGCCATCCTGGCCTAATGGATGGGCTTCAAGCAAGCGAGAGACCCTGTCTCAAAGGTGATGGAGAGCCAAATATGGCACTCAGCGTTGTCCTCTGGCCTCCATAGACATGGGCATGGTGACTCATGCAGAAAAGCTAATGTACATTTATGTGGCCTCTGCTACATAGTGAGGCCCTTTCTCAAAAAAACAAATAAACAACAATAACAACAGCAGAAACAAAAACAAACAAACAAAAACACCAAGAGGCATGGGTGTGCAGGTCAGAGGTAGAGCGCTCGCCAAGTATGCATGGGGCCCAGTTCAGTCTCCAACAGTGTCTCTTTTCTCTTAAGAGGAAAAGAACAGTTCAGAAGAAGGCTATTTTTACTTTAAAGGACTCAGTTAAGTAGGAAGATGCCCTTTTCTGTGCCCAAAGAGAAGTATTTTCAGCATCAAGGGCATGGGATTAATTTTGAGGTTATAAACACATTTTAAAAATTTTTTTCCAGGTCTCTATGAGTATGTGTTATCTCCAGGGCTTAATCCCTTCCAGATAATGGTCCCCTGCATCTTCCCCTCCTCTTTCCCCTACCCTGACTAAAGATGGAATTTAAAATTACACAAATGTCCTGGTTATCTCACTAAAATACCGAACAACACAGAGTCCGCCGTCTCCTCCACTTCCCTGTGCCTCCTCTCATCCCTCCAGCCCCCATCTTTCGCTCAAGAGTACATCCTGATCTGGGTGCAGCTGAGCCTGTTCCCTGCTAAATGGATACACCCTGAGTCCAGCTGTGCCAGCTGGAAAAGCAGACACTTACTGGCTACGGAGGCTTCAGCAAAGCTTTGAGAAGCTGGACTCCCCTTTTAAGATAATGCTGGGCTAGTAGAAGCTGTTTGAGATGTAAAGTCACATGTCCTCTGGTGCCTGGGGTCTGAAGGGGAAGCCCATCCCTTCATAGCACACACTTCTGCAAAGTCCTGGGAGTCATGGGGGAGGCGGGGTGGAGAGGGAAGGGGGAGGGAGAAAAGCAGAGTTTCTGCTCAGACAGCCATTGTCACAGACCTCTCCCCATGCACATGTTCCCCAAACCCCACTAAACCATGGTAGCTCACCACCACTTTACCAATAAATGTTCAGAGCTGGGGAGATGGCTGTCAGTAACGTTTTTATATCTAATTTGGGTTTCTAAAGGGAACTTGGGTGAAGTTTACTTCTTTCTCTGTCTTTAATCATTTGAGAAATTCAAGACTTCCAATCAGCAACATGCAGGAGGTGTTGAGGAAGGACGTAGCCCACAGCACCCTGGCTAAGAAAGCACACAGCAGACCAGACCCTTCTCGACAGCAGCTCCTTCCATCGAAGGAAAGGAAATGCACAAACATTTGCTAAGAGCAGGACTGGCCCTTAGAGGAAACCTCCAGAGAAAATCTAAGGGACACAATACCCTGACTTACCAAATGGTGTTCACATGCAGGAGAATGAATAACCCTCTCCTGCTTTCTTGGGAGGTGGAATACACCTAGGGGCCTCATGAATCTTGGGGATCCTAAGAAGACACAGAAATCCTGGCTGTAGTGTTCTGCAAGGCTTCCTTGTCCCAGATGTTTTGAATGTTGGATCACCTAGGACACTGCTTCATGGGGGTCTTGCCTGATCAAACCATGTTAATCTGGAAGGAATCCATAGCTTTTCATTTTCTGTGGAAACAAAAACAGAAATCTTTTTCCCCAGTAACCTGCCCTTAGACTTAAATTTGGAGTCAAAGCATTTTTAAAATATGTAAATTGGATTAATTCAGCAGCACTAATAATCAAGTATATTGTAGCAACTGTTGTTCCTTCCTTAGTAATTGAGCAATTCAAAGACAACTCAATAGCATACAGTATCCAGACTCTGTGTATTTTCCATTTTTAAGTGGCCTTTTTATTACTCTATTTCTTTTTTTCATTTATTGAGACAGGGTTCCTCTGTGTAACTTTGGCTGCTCTGGAATTCACTCTGTATACCAGTTTCACTTAGACATCACAGATTTGTTTGCCTCTGCCTCCAAAGTACTGAAGTTAAAGAAGGTGTGTGCCACCAACCCAGCTACTCTTTCTTTCTATTTTTTAACCACTTTATCCTGTTTCTTTTTCTCTCCCAAACCTATGTATATTTAAAAACACACTGTAAACCATTAGAGGCTTTTCTTAACCTGAATCTGTCTTTACTGTAAATCTTTATCTTTTTCTGGCCATGAGTCTTTTGTTATCTGCTAAACATTGTTAAAATGAAAGCCACAGCTGTTTTAGCCAGTCTGTCTTAGATGGTGGGGGTACATTACCGCCAGCACTGAGAGCTGTGGTCACCCCCTTGGTCTATCTATGCTGCCATCAAGCAGCATGCTGCTGGCTTGGAGATGAGGTCACTGACATTGCCAGCTCTTGTACACACCATTGTTAGCAGGGTTTGCCACTTATGCAGAGCCAGGAAACCTCCCTTAAAGGAGCTGCGCAAATCTCTGCTTGTCTCTAGCAAATCAGAGCCCATCAGAGAAAAATGCTGCTACCAAGAAGACTTGTTTGTCTCTGTTACTTTGTTTTTAAAATCCTTTCTTAAGCTTTTGTTAAGTTTTAAGTGGAACTTCTTAGTACCCACATTGCAGGCACCATTTTGTTTCCAGTAGCTTTTCCGCCAGCCTGGTCCCAGAGCCACGTCAGCCCCAAATAACACACAGAGACACTATATTAGATATAAAGCTGTTGACCTGTTACTAGTGTTTCTTATTGGCTAGCTCTGTCTTAAATATTAACCCATTTCTATTCATATAAGTGTTTCCACATGGTCTTATCTTACTGGAGAGAGGGTCTGGACCTCTTCCCTCCAGTCTCTACATCTTGATTCTTCTACTACATCTCCCAGAATCCTCCTTGTCTTCTAGTCCCACCTATCTTGACTTGCTATTTGCCAACAGTGCTTTGTTCATTATCCAATAATAGAAATATATTTACAGAAGGACATCTCCCATTAAAGGACTATGACAATGAAAGTGTTCTTTCTAGGATTTAGGATCCTTTATCATGTTTTTAATATAAAGGATCTTCGGGAATAGAGAGGTGGCTCAGGAGGTAAAGAGTTTGCTCTGAAAACATGCATCCTTGACTCCAGATTCCCAGCACTCATATAAAAAGCCAGGTGCAACAGCAGGCAGCAATAATCCCAGCACTATTGAGGCAGAGACCTGTAGCTTCCCGGAGGTTGCTGAAGTGATGAATAGCAGCTGAAGAATGACAGCCAAGGTTACCCTCTGATGTCAACACATATCCACACACCACACACAATACACCTGCATGCACACACACACACACTTTAAGATGGAACTTTACTATCTACAAGAAAAGTTTTATTGAAACACAATTAAGTATGCGCATCAGTGCGTGCACACTCGAAAGCATTCATGTTGACATCAGGCATCTTCCTCAGTCACTCAGCCTCGTTTTCTGATAGTCTCTCACTGAACTTAGAGCTTACCCATATAGCCAGCCCAGCTGGCCAGCCAGCCCTCAAGATCATCCTTTATCTGCCTTCCAAGTACAGGGATCACAACCGTGTGCCACCACCACATCTGGCTTTTTAAATGTAAGTTCTGGGGATCAAACTCTGGTCTTTGTAAAGTCCATAGCAAACACTTTACTGAATGAGCTACCTCCCCAGCTCCAACCAAAGCCACAGCTGCACTCAATAGCCATGCTGTATAGCTGGAACAAAAAAAAAAAAAAAAAAAAAAAAACCTACACGGTCAACAAATCCTAAAGTGTTTACCATCTGGCCTTTGTGGAGAAAGTTTGTCACCTTCTGTGATAAGATAGGAGAATTCTGCATCTGTGCAATGAAATGAAGGGTTTACACATTGACTCCTTAATTGACCTGATTAAGCAGTCATGCTGGGGCCAATGATGTTCTCTACTCAGTTAAATCCCTGCAGTGAGGATCCACTCACACAGCTTGAGCAGAGTGGATTCCTAGTGATAGACCTGGCCAAGCGAATTGCCCACAATCCTCATCACACTCTTAGCATCACCTAGAGATCACACAGCACCCAGTGTTTATTAGCCGGGGTCCTCTAAAGGGATATATGATACATATATCAAAGGGGGATTTATTAGCTTGGCTAAAAGACATGGTCCTGTTTATTAGCTTGGTCCTGTTAGTCCAACGATGGCTGTCTCACAGTGGAGATACCAAAAATACAATAGTTGTTCAGTCCATGAGGCTGAATGTCTCAGCAGCCCCAACAGAGCACTGAAGGCCTGCAGAGCTGCTGGTCGTCAGTATGTATCAGAACCCCCACACACACACACACAAAAATAGGTTCTAATGTTGGAGAAGGAATGTCCCCACCACAGGCTACATGAACTTGCCTGCCAGAGTGCAAGCAAGCAGGTAGAAAGCAGTTTCATTTTGCCATGCCCATCTGGACTGCCACCAGAGGGTGTCACCCACATTTAGGGTCAACATTCCTGCTTGAAATAATCTGATCAAGAAAGCAAGCCCCCCACAGTAGTGCCAAGTGGCTCTTGGCAGAGGGTGTATTGTCCTCTCTTGTGCCTGTGGTCACACACCACAGAATTAACCCCATACATGCTAGGAAAGAAACAAGCACCAGATCGGGGGGATCCCGGAATACAGCTTTTTAATTCTCACTTGTCCAAAACAGAGTGGAGGCTGCCGACCCCTCTGGGACCTGTGAATTCACCTCTAATCTCCTCTGGTCTGAGTGACAGCAAGGCTACTGGGCTAAGCTGCGAATTGTCTCCTCCAACAGCAAAGAGCTTCAGGATATACGATGTGAGTCCTCTTTCTTCTCCTAACCTGTTGCAGAAGGAGAAGATGTGTCCCCACAGAAGGGTGAGCTGAGAAAATGAAGCACAGTGGCTGGGTGGGGGGTGGGGGGGGCCAGAGGGACAGGAGTAAGTGGCTTTGCCTCACCAGGATCCCCACCGGCCTGCCATTGTATCAGATTAGAGAGAAACGAACCCCTACAGGTGTGAAAATGGTACTGCAAGGCCTTCCCTGGGGATCCTTTAGAAGAAGAAACTCCCATATGACGTTCTGAGGTCCCTGATGGCATTTTCCACCCCTGGACACTTCCATTTTGCCTCATTGCCCTGAGTTTCTGCTCTGTGTGTGTGTGTGTGTGTGTGTGTGTGTGTGTGTGCGCGCGCGTGTGCGCACACGTGCGCATGCTACATAAGGTGTTATGGGTTTGCTCTTTGCCTCTTGATACCCTAGAGGCCTGATTTTTCCTACCACTAATGGGTTAATTGATTTCCCCAAAGGTAATGGGCCCATGTCACTTTCTGAGAAATATGTTCATCCAACACTTCAGAGTTATTCTGAATCTTTAATCCCTAATACAGAAAATCCAAATCCAACTGCTCACTTGGATGACAAATATCTTTGGGGAACTTCCTACACTGTGTGTAATCCATAAAATACTGATGCTGATCACAAGAACCTTAGGGTCTAATCGGCATAGGTTCAAATAGCAAGACATCAGCAGTAAGTCACATAGAGACAGAGACCCTTTGAGAGGATGCTGTGGGAGTTCTGAGGAAAACCAGCTCTGTTAAGAGTTCGGAACAGTCTCCAGAGGAAGTGGTAAGTTATTGGAAGCAAAAATCAGAGTCTTAGAAGATAAATGGGAGTAGGGGAGAAGGCAAGAGAACGATAGAGGTTGGAGAACAAGCAGAAGAGAGGTAAGCTTAGGCCCTGGAACAAAAAAAGGATGATGGTGAATGACAGTGGTGATGGGGGAAGATGATGGTGACAGCGAGGCTTTTAAGGAAAGTCCAAACGACAAATTGGGGTAAATAGCAGAGCTGGTGGTGAGAGATGGAAGGCTCGCTCACTGCGAGAGTTCCACATGAGGTCAACTCTGGTCAGAGAAGATGAGGTTGCCTCAGGTGGATCTGAGGTCCATCACCAACAAGCTGTGGCTCTCCATGGTGAGGCTGAAAATGGCCTTCCTTTGAAGGTGTCACTGCCCTACAGTTACATGCAGACACTTAAATCTGACGCCATAGGAGGTAACAAGACTGAGAAAGCCCCACCTTCCACCTTGCTGAGCCTCAGTCTCCCCCTCTGGGAAGGCAGAGGCTTGACTCCTGAGACCCTGCTGGCCTCTGATGTCTGTCAGCTCCTCTATCCTGCTGCCAGGGTGACTGTCTCACTCCCTATCTGGTTTCTTTCTGGTCAGTACTGGAAGGGACAAAAACACTGTCCTATTTCTAGCTATGTGGGAGGCAGGATGTGGTTTAACTCCCTCACTGGGACCAAGTTCCTGTGGTAAATCCAACCTCCCACTCCTCCGCACACCCTTACCCAGCCCAGAGCCACCAGCCACCAACCTCAGGCCATATCCCTGGCTCTCTGGAAACAAAGAAATCAAGATGTGGATAGAGATAGCAATTGCTAGGAGTCCTCCACTCACAAGGAAGCCAAGAATTCCTGGGAAAAGTCCCCTGCTGGGGGTCCAGGACACTATCCCAGTGGTCATACATGGGCAGATCACGAGGGGTTGCACACACACACACACGCACACACACACACACACACACACACACACACACACACGGTGTTGTCAAGGAAGAATTTGGGACCTGCTGACAGTCCAAAGGGGCAGGGCAAGAAGAGAGAAATGAGACGAGGACCATACGGGCAGAAACTAGGGGAACCACGGGGACCAGGCCTATTAGTTATTTTTCTAGTAGCTGTGACTTAATACCCGATGTCCCGATGTAAGCAACGTGTGCAAAGCAGGCTTGTTTTGGCTCACAGTTCAAGGGTGAGAAAAGCATGGTGGCAAGAGCATGAAGCAACGATGCTCCTTTGATGCCTTTCTTTTTATTCGCTCCATAACCCTATCCCCACAGAACGGCGCCACGCCCATGCAGGATGGGTCTTCCCATTTCACTTAGTCTAATCTGGACAATGCCTCGCTCATATGGCCAGGATTTGTTGCCATGGCGATGTTAAATCCCATCAAGTAAACAAGACTAGCCATCACAAGAAGAATCAAAGTGTTGGAAGGCCGGGCACCTGCCAAGACATTCTGTCAATAAAGAACTCTAGCCTTGATTGGGCAGGGGCAACACGGAGGTGCTGCCAGGGAAGGTTCACATATTGGAGGATCCACGGGACACTCAGGCTGCTGTGCCCTTAGTGGAAAATCAAGGAGCCCCCCCCCCCTCTCTCTTTCGGTTTTTTTTTTTTTTTTTTTTTTTTTTTTTGAGTCAGGATCTCACCATGTAACTGGTTAGCCTAGAACTCTTCATGTACACCAGGCTACCTCAAACTCAGATGTGCCTGCCTCTGCCTCCTCTTTTCTTACAGAGGGAAGGTGAGAGACACATGGCCCACCAGATCTTGCATTTGAGAAGTCTGGTTTCCACCCCCAGGACACTCAGGATAAGACCTGTGGGGTGTGTGTGTGTGTGTGTGTGTGTGTGTGTGTGTGTGTGTGTGTGTAAACATGTGGAAGTCAGAAGCCAACATTTGGATGTCTTCCTCAATCATTCGTTCCCAGATCTTTTTGAGACAGGGTCCCTGCCTGAAACTAGAGCTTGTTAACTGGGCTAGATTGACTGGTCAGTGAGCTCCAGGAATCCTGTCATTGCATCCCTAGCACCAGCATTACATGTGTGTGTTGGCATAACTGGCTTCGTGTGTGATTGCTGAGGATGCAAACTCAAAACCTCATGCTTGCACACCTCAGGCTCGCACACTTCCTCCTTGCACGGCTTGAGTCCAATGTGTCACTTTTCATCTGAACCATGCCTTATCAAAGCTTGAAAAACTAAAACCTTGTGTTATGATAAAGTTCGAGGGGGACCTTGGCAGATTTCATGGAAGGTGAAGGTGACCAAGGCAGGGGACAAACACGCTAGGCAGACGGGGCTTAGTGAGAAGTTTTATTAGGAAGGGAAAGGGGGAGAGAAAAGAGCTAAAGAGACACAGAGACCGAGAGGATGAAAGAGAAGATGGGGTCAGGAGAAGTCCTGCCTGCCCCAGGGGAACGGCGGGGGAAGAGAGCAGGAAAGTGGGAGATAGAAGAGAAGAGAGGAGAAAGAGAGAGCAGAAAGAGCGGAGAGAGGGGGCAAAGAGCTGGAAAAGAGCATAAGTGGGCGGGGTCTGTCTTTTAAAGGCATCCTTTGCACCTGCACGAACACTAGGCAATCATGGAACCCTGGGCTGACCAGAGTACTGCCTGAGTGCATTCTGCCAGATGACAGGAGTAGACCAACATAATGCCCGAATCCTTACACCCTGGTTGATGTCCCTATGGAGCTGAGTGAAGAGTCAGCAGTGAATTGGCATGGTTCGGGCTGGAACTAGTCAGTGCTCTGGCTCTCCAGGCGCTGTGCTAGATTCCTGGCCAGAAGTGGAGGGCGTGGCTCTTTCCTTTGTCTCTCAAGAGAGCAGAAGGCAAAAGTCAATGAATTTTTTTCTCGTCAACAAGAGGCATGACGACAGCTGTGTGCTGTCGTCTTATGGTACGGTTTGTCTTATGGTATGTCCATGATAACTGGTCCTTTGCAGACACGTATGGCCCGTCTGCCCCAGCAGGGCCCTTTCCGACACCTTATGGACATGAAGGCAGAGAAGAGACTGGCAGGCTGGAAGGAACGCCGTAGCCGCTTTGGTGACATCAGCACGCATAAATGCTATCAGTTTGGACAGATCTTCTCTCCTTTCCAGGCTCTGGCCACGACGGTGAGTTTCCACCGTGGTGAATTTCAAATTAAGTCTGGGGGTGGGCAGGCGGGACACCAGTGCCAAATATCAATTCTTTGCCTTTTTCAGAAGTGTTTCTATCAGTCAGTTCTGGCCCCAATGATGCTGAGTAACAAAAGGACTAAAACTCCGTATCTTAGAATGGCAGGTATCTCTTCTCCTGACTCATAATCTGCAGAAAAGTATACTCCTTCCACTTTTGCTCACTGCCAGGTCACAGAACCGGGGCAGGGGGGGGGGGTTTAGGGGCGGGTTGTAAAGAGTTGCAAATCAGCCTCTCGTCTGCCACTATACATGGTGTCTTGCCTATGGAGAGACAATGACCTGCCAGAGAAGTCCAGTGGAAGATTGGAAGGCAGTGGCTACAGTATCGATGTTCAGAGATGAGATGATTTCAAGGGAAGAAGTAGACTGGAAAGAAGGGACAATTGTCACACACACACACACACAAAAAAAAATCCTGTAATCTGAAGACTTGAGTGTGCCTCTGTGCTACCTGGGAAGCATGATTAAAATGTAGATTCCAGGGACTGAGGAGATTACTTAATGGAATGTGCAAGCAAGAGGGCCTGAGTTCAAACTCACAGGTATCCACATGAAAAGCTTGGCATGGCTCCATCTGTGCCTGTAACCCTAGCTCTGTGGGATGAGAGGGGCAGAAACTGGAGGGTCCCTGGGACATAGCAGTTGCCACTCTAGACAAAGGTTCAGTGAGAGAGAGACCCTATCTCAAGAGAATAAGGTAGAGAATGATAGATCATCCTCCACCCTCTCTGGTCTCTGTATATCCATGTAAATACACACACACACACACACACACACACACACACACACACACACACACACCTCTGGATCTCAAGCTTTCATTATTTTAATTATGCAGAGCATTCTGGTCAGGAGGGGTCTTGTAATTGCCTTCCAAAATGATTATGTATCTATTGCCTTTGTATGTTATTGCTGAGTCAGCCTGCCAGGCATGGTACATATTAAAAATTATACATCTTGGAAGGCACAATGGGGTAAACTTAGGAGGCTGCTGATGGTGCTAAACAAACAGATCCCCAAGCATGGAAGGATCGGGATGTCAAATGTAACTAGACAGAGCCCTCCAGTGCATGCTGGAACCGACTGTTGTACAATTGTGCTAACACTATGCTGATCTGACCATCAGAATCAGCCAGGCAATTGGAAGTGCCAGTAACCAAGTCTTTCTCTGAACAGTTAAAGAAGCTTGCAGTTGAATCCCAGACATCACATCAGCAGGTCTTAAAGCTCCCTAGAGTAACTGACCAACTCATTCTGGTTTTCCCAAGATTGGCATTCACACTTGTCACCACAGTTGCCAACTCTTACCATGTGAATTCCTGAGCCTCACAAAACCCCTAGATCCTTGCTCTAAAAGTAAATATTGCAGCTCCTTGGGACTAGAGCAAACTAGATGGTTTGTCATACTACCCACCAGTGAATCCCATGGGAAGCTGAACTTGGAAACTATTATTCTGCAAACCTTCTAGAAACTAGCCAGATTCCACTTCAGTCCACTGGCCGATATTCTTCAGACACTGTGGTTGTGCCGGACCCAAACTCAAAAATGGAAATCCAAACCCCAACTCTGAAGAGCTTGTATGCTTCCAGAGAAACACTGCCATGAACCAAAATAATATTGCAGATGCAATCGTGATGAGTGGTTAGTAAGAATAGGCATAAACAGATTACTCAGAAGGAGCTAAGACTCATCCATATTAGCACTGCTTTCTGCTAAACATACACACAGACACACACACACACACACACACACACACACACATACACACACACACAGTCTTCCTGCAGAACAAGTCCCTAGAAGCGCATCCCTTCTCCATGGACAGAGACTATCACCCACGTGCTAGAAGGAACAGTGCCCGCCTGCTGTGTCGTGTCACCATAGTGACTTTTCTGTTGCTGAGATAAAACGCATAAGGAAGAAGGAGTTTATTTGGGTTTATGGCTCCAGAGGAAGAGAGTCCATGAATAGCAGTGACATTTGCAGCATGGTGGCATCAGGAAGCTGGCTGATGACATTTTTTCACAAATAGGAAGCAGAAAGAGAGAACAGGAAGTAAATCGGGGCCATAAACTCTCAAAGCCCACCCCCAGTGGTGCACTTCCTCCAGCAAGGCTCCACCTCCTGAAGGCTACACAACCTCCCCAGACAGCACCACTGGAGGATGGGTGCTCAAGTGTATGAGCCTGGGGAGGGGGGCATTTCTCACTCAGACATCACCTGGGTGCAGCATGGAAGACTGTGGGAAGACTTAATTCTCGTACACCCTGCCAAATGAGTGTCACACTTACTCCCCACATAGTACCCAAAGCTAGAAAAGCAGAGTTATTTGTCTGCAACTGTTAGTACTCCAGAACAAAGCCAGGGTTCGAACCTGGGGAAGTTTAACAGGATGCTCCCCTTGACAGCTCCCTTTGGTGATATCAACAGGTACTTTGAATCCCCATGCTTCTTCTCACCGTGATTTGCTTCTGCCTTGTAGGAGATGAGAAGGCTGGTGTTACCCCGAGATCTGCCTGTGAGTTCTCGAATGCAGAGAATAAGTACTTCATCCCTCAGTGACATGACCCTCCAGGATTTACCCCTGTCTCCCTCAGAGCTGGGCTTGGGAAAGGATGACAACCACCATGAAAAAGAGAAATCAGTAAGCCACATTAAAACGCCTTTATTCCCCCCAATAGTTAAAGCAACAAAATATAATGACATGAAATAAAATTGCAAACTGTGTTGTGCTCCTTCACTGTAAGATTTTACTTGAAAAAAAGGTAAGATCTGGGGGCCCAAGACTGTGGAGCCAGCCTAGCAGATGACAGTGTTTAGATAGTCTAAGAAATCACCATATCATGCCCTATGTGGATGGCTCTGGGGGAGGACTGAGCCATCAGGAAATGTAAAAGGCACAGCCAGACCCAGCTCTTCAATAACACTTTCCTAGGAACCCTGAAAACTTAGAGGAGGAGGAGGCCATTCCATGCACCAGAAATCCCACTCTTTGAGCCAATGTTCATCAGCTATCCCCACGGTATTAGATGATCATCGGTGTGGCTAATCACAGAAAGTATCAAATACTGTACTTGAGAGAAAGGGAGACAAAGAGGGGGAGAAAAGAGAGAGAGAGAGGGAGGGAGAGATTCTGCCTCTGCCTCTGCCTCTCCCAGTTCACAGACAGTTCCTCCTTGGCTGGAATGGGGTGGCTCATCTCTACCCTAACTGCAAAGGAAGCCAATAAAGATCATATTGGAAATGTACTGGGAAGCAAGATGTAGTATCAGGAAAAGACGCACAGCTGATGGGAAAGCAATTAAGATCTGGGAAATGTGGTGGTTTATAAACCAGACTATTACAAGGAGAAATGTCTACTTAAGCTCAATGAAAACAAACCTTTTTGTCATTTACAAACACCAATGCTAATGCTGCGCTCCCAAACGAACTCTTCCAACCTAAATAGCTTCCATTTTCTTTGGATGCTTCAAAGCAATATATGCTCATAATAAAAGCTGTTCAAACGTATTTTTAAAGATAATTACCACCAGATCTCAGTATTTGGAGACAATATGTGCTTGTATCAGGAACTTTCCGATCATCTTTCAATGTCTTACCCTCGATGACAGGATGAGTTTCAAGTCATTCACTTCCCAGGTCATCAGTAAAACTACCAGGCCATATGGACACACATCAAATCTCTTACCTCAAAGAAAATTAGAAATAGTTTGTTCTAGAACCCAATGTAACTGGGGTAATTTTCTTTGAGGTAAGAGATTTGATGTGTGTCCATATGGCCTGGTAGTTTTACTGATCTTATAAAGCCACTTCATATCAAAATGCAAAGCTAGCCATAGAGTCAGGCAGTGGTGATACACACCTTTGATTTCAGCAATCATACTGATTGGAGCCATAGAAGCCAGGTGGTGGTGGCACACACCTTTAATCCCAGGAGACAGAGGCACATGGATCTCTGTGAGTCCAAGACCACCCTGGGCTACACAAGAGTCAATCAGTCCTAAAGAGTAACAGAGCTCTCGCCTTTAATCCCAGCACTAGGGAGGTGGAGACAGGCTGGGCAGAGAGAAAGGGATATAAGGTGTAAGGAGGCAGGAGCTCAGAGCATTTGCCTCTGAGGATTCATGAAGCATTGTCCCTAAAGATTCCTGGCTATTTCAGTTTGGTAGAGGTAAGAGCTACTGGCTTGGCTGCTTTGATTTTCTGATCTTTGGCTTAAACCCCAGTATCTGCCTCTGAGTTTTTATTATTTGAGCTACAAATAACTATAGTCAAGAAACACAGATTCAGATAATGCCAAATTCCATACTTCAATCAGTAACAATTTTGTTAAGTTTTTATAGTAATAAAACAAAGAAAACTATAAAGGACTTTCAAATATCTCTGTGGGGATACTGGGTAGGCAGCTGAAAGCATGACTGGGAGATCTCTGCAGTAGGCCTCAGAGGTCATCTCACAAGATTCTCAGTCTGGTGGTTGGGAGAAGCTTGTGGTCTGCCATGACATTCCAACAGGTTTAATTTGCCAGTCATGGAGATGTTAGGTCAGAGAGGAGGGCAAGGAATTGCTACTAAGGGGCTAAATATAGGCCAAGATAAATTATAATTTAGACTCTAGACCTGTAACATTCCAACCCCTCCACATCACTGAAGTTCTATCAGCTAATGAGCCTTGCAGAAGTTTCTGTGCAGTTTGCGGTTCTTGAAGCAGCCTCAGAGCAGGCACAGAACACACTCAGACACCAAATTCTCAGCACAAAGGAGAGTGACTACCCAGGAAGGATGGGGTTGGGGCTACCTCTGGATCAGACAAAGATGACAGCAGATGTTTCGGTAGAGGTAGGTTTTTAAGGAGGAAAGCAGAAGTCTGTGTTAGGATGGGTTGGTGAATCCTGCTTGGACGGGTTAGTCAGTGTAGTCAAGAATAAATTTTGACTGCTGGACCTTGGTGTTTTGATAGTGGACTTTGGAGTTTTAGATGGGCGTAGTGGTGGCTGAATAAGGAAACAGACCTTAGCTTTATGAATGTCATCTAATGGTTTAGCAAGGGAGAGGGAAGGGAGAAGGCCAAGACCTGCCAGCGCCATGTTTGTGATGCTTAAAGCCTGTTAGAGAACCCTGTGGTTCTCGCTAGGAACTTTCCTTAACAATTGTCAGGTCCACTTCTGACTTTTGGGTCCTGAAGGGCATTTCCAGATCCCCTCCCATGTGATGGGAGTTACAGAAGCCACAACCCTCCATTTGCATCTCATCACTGAACCTGGAAAAGTAGTCCATCCTTGGCCTCATTCCAACTTTTGATTGTATCAAGCCTACCACCACCACAAAAGAAGAAAAACGAGGAAGAAAAGAAAAAACACACCACGAAACTATTCCTCTCTCCTCAGTCAACCTTTTCCAGAGATGTATAGACGCCTTTATCTGTAAAAGGCACGCACACACTCACACACACACACCACTACGATGTTGGTTTCTGAATTACATGAGGTGGAAGATACCACAGTTACCCTCCTTTGTGACGCACACACCCTCCTTTGAAGTTCTGTGGAGTCATTTGTCTTCTTGCTTTTCTTCTCACAAGTGTCATCAACACATTCCCTGGTATGCGTTTTTCATCCCTCTTGGCCCAAGGGTTTACAAATGAAAATTCACAAATCTTTTAAATAAAGCTTTATTAGACCACAGACCTGCCCATTTGTTAACACGGTGTCTATTGATGTCTATTGGTGCGACAGAGCTACTTTTCACACTTAACTAGTTGCCAGGAAGACTCCACGGCTCATAGCCTAAAATATTAACTATCTCACCCTTTTTAGAAAAGCTTGCCACACTGTCTTAAGCCAAATTCTACTCCAGTTTCTATGTCTCTTAGCTCTGAATTTTTAAATTAGAATAAATTAAAATATTTTATTTATATTCAATTAATTTTTATCTCTCTTAAGTCTAAAGTCCATGAATATGTCCATCTAAACTTCCTATTTCCAAGTATGAATTCAAGTACCGTCAATACCAGCATTAGCTGAATAACTTCACTTATTGATTCACTTAACTTTGTAACTATACTATGAACCAGGGAGTACTGAGAAGAAAATGAAGGTACATCAACCTAAATGTGCATAGCTAGTGAGTGCCAGATCCAGCTGCTGACCCCAGGAGACGTGATCTCAGCCCCTGTACACTCAGCACTGCGCTATCTTGCATGCCCTGTGATGGTCTCTTTCCCTGATGCACCCTTATGAAGTAGATAACTGGTGAGCAGCACAAGATTCATGGGACTGGCTCAAATGTAGATTAATACAGTTGTATTCGGGGAGAAATCACTTACACTCCGTGCAGACGACCTCCGCAAGTGCCTTCTCCGAGGATCCACACCGGCTGCCCTCCATGACCCTATCGGGAGCGAGAGAGCGAGCCTGTCCCGAACCCCAGACCACATGCCACATGCTCACGTACTCATGGTCAGTGCCACAGGTGTGGCTGGGTGGATCTCTCACTATACTCCATCCTTTGTGTTTCCAACCACTTTTTCCTTACCGACTGAAGCCTCAAACAGAAGGCTCCCATGTGCTCACATCTACCCCTAAGAGATCACACCGTCAGCAAAGGAAGCTGAGAGTTTACCCAAGTCTTTTCCTAGAATGGCCAACAGTGGACATCTGCCTAAGGTGGCCCTGCCATGACCTTAATTACCTGTTTGTGGACAATTTAACTTGGCCTCTGTAGGAAGAAACCATCTTACACATTCATTGTGAGACCTGGTCACCTGTTGGAAGGCTCCCTTCTCTCTCATTAGCACAAACCACTCCTCTATCTGCTTACACTGCTGGAGAGAAGAAAGATTGTCCACACATGGTTCTTCCCCACATAGGAGTTGGGAGAAGGGGAGTTAACCTCAGTGGGCCTTACCTGCGTGATTTCTTTTAACCAAACTGTAGCCTTCTACGCAGAACCCGAGCTGACTTGAAGGTCTGTGCAATTCTAATGGAATGAAACAAGAACTTGAGAGACCACAGGATAGACTTCCAACACTTTGGCCATGTGCCCAAGGCTGAAAAGAACTGTATATTTCCTTCACAATTGCCAATAAATCTATTTTATACACAGCAATGCGAGAACTCACTAAATTACACAGAGCAAAATCTGCATGGGGAAGAATCACCATCTCTTTATAGAACTTGAACAAGGTGATAATTGGAGGTGAGAGGTGGCAGTATATACCCATAGTCCTATGTTGAGTGTCTTTAGCTTGTTCCAGACACTGTGGCAAGAACTTAGTAGGGGTTGCCTCCTTCAACCCACACTGTAGGTCACCTGAAATGCACCATTACAACAAAGGTAAGAAAATGTGAATTCCAAGAGTTTGCCATGGTGTCCCCATGCTTCCTCTCCTGCAGGCATTGGACCAAGCAACACTTACAGCCTAGACCTGTTCTCCCGTGATGCTTGCCAGATGCAAAACAGGCCCAATCAGCAATGGCTTGGCTTCCTCACTTGCTGGCTCCTACTGTGGCAGCCTGCCCTGAACTTTGCTGGTCCCTATGGTCTTTTATCAGCTCTCTTGGTGAAATAACTCATGCATTAATGCTGGTGCACAGTTCCAATTTCTGTGGTTTCAGCCATCTAAATCCAGCCCTTGGCTCAAACACATGGAACAACAAAAAATTCTAGAAATAAACAATTCATAAATATCAAATTGTGCGCTATCCGTAATAGCATGATGAAATAT